TGAAACGTTGGTTAACATCGACCAGACTACACAGCGCAACAACCCAGAAGACAGAAATCTTCAACCTTTGGGTTTCATAAAGAAAGTGAACTATTCTTTGCCAAGACAAGAAAACACTGGACTTTTTCAAAACTATCCTGTGACTGCATTCTTTTGGAAAGGAGAAACATTGTTTTCCACACAAAAATCAAAATATCTTTCCTTTTGGATCTATTCTCAGTGTTGCCCTTTCTTAAAATTAAATTTTAACCCTTTCAAGGCTATTTTATTTTTAATCAGTCAGTATTGCCAGGCCAGAATGTTGTAGCATTTTACACACTAAAAGACTACCTACCCAAAATTAAGAAATGTAGTTCTAATGAGGAATTTTGCTGTTATTTACTTAGAATATTAATTGTCTTATCCTTACCAGAAGTCCTTGTAACACGAAACAGCATATAATACAACATTGCCAAGTACCGTAGAAATCACGTTACATGAAACTTGCAAAAAAGATGGTAGAGCATGTGTTGAATTTTTCTATTCATTGGAATAATGGACATTTATTTTTAAATCTTGATTGCATCATGGCTGCAAAAGTGAACATAATTTGTTCTGTTCTTTTTATTTCAGAAAGCAAAATCATGTATGAATAACAGCGAATAACTTGTTTTGTTTCAGTTATTGGGTTTGCAATTACTCTGACTGGAATACCAGTGTATTACATATTTGTGAAATGGAAAATCAAATCAAAAAGATATGAGAGAACGTTCAGTAAGTACAGAGTTATTTTAATTTTTAATTTCCCGTGGTTTACAAAAGAATAATCTTTAACACAAAATGAGAAGTTGGTATGTATGTAAATAATAAACCCAAAATCATAATTTCTAATTGTGTATCTATTTCAGATAAGATCTCATCTTTGTTGCAAACTTTACTGGAGGTGGTCTCACCAGAGGAAGAGGAGAGGTTACTTGGACCTACCAAAACTTAAGATTCAATTTCTTACTTTGTAAAATGTCATATACTGTAACATTCCATGTCAGCTGGTCCAAATATAAGAGCAGATGCCAAAGATTATATCAGAACCCAAAGTTCATTCACTGTTTGGTGCAGTGAATTGGGTGAATCTCAGTAGGGGTAACGTTTAATGTTTATAAATGTACGTTCATATAGCTACCATGAACTTGTCATTTTGATGTACGTTGTACTTGGAAATGTATTATATGACAATCCTTTCAGAGTGAACAGCAGTATTACTTGCATATACCTAAATTGGAAATATGTTTTCTGGTTTATTTAAAATGTAAATATCCATACTTATACTGTTATATATTTTCTTATGGAAGATGTCGCATACAATCTCTGAAACAAGTTCTTATATTTAGTATTTGTAATAAATGTCACATAATACCTGATTTGATACTGAGCAATATTTTTGCATAGAGCAGCTTGCATGATTTCGTTGTGACTTTTTATGTTTGTCAAGGAAACCCCCCCCTCCCCTCCACATGCAAATAACCCCAGGTGATATTCATCATGTGCAGGATCACACTGTTTTACAGATATTCCAGAGAGGAGAAAAGAAGTTTAGAAACATTGAACACCCTTCGATTTCTTTCTGTCTCCTTAAAACCACTACATATATTTCTGTGTTTGTATAAGGGTCATGGGGGGTATTTTCTCTGCTTCGCAATGATAGGAAGACCCAACATCGAAGGATCAAAAATCGACGTCGCTATGAACGCTCGGCCGCCACAAGCCAGTTATCCGTGTGGTAACTTTTCTGACACCTCTTGCTGGAAACTCTCCAAGCCAAAAGGATCGATAGGCCGTGCTTTCGCAGTCCCTATGCGTACTGAACATCGGGGTCAAGCCAGCTTTTGCTCCACGCGAGGTTTCTGTCCTCGCTGAGCTGGCCTTATGTTTTATGCATAAAAATGTATATCGTGTTCCAGAGACAGTCAGATTATCTTGATTAGAAAGAAAATATGAAGTTTTAGACGCAAAGTCAGTCTCTGAAACTTTGTATCATTTCTTTCCAAGCAATAGACAATATCCAAAGAAAATACCCCCAACAACTATAACAAATTAGTACACATGCATACAATCTGTGTAGAGATGGCTTCTTTGTAGTAAACTTGCTACAGTTTTGTTATCTAGAAATCAAAAATTACAGATGAAAATGGAAAGAATATCTAGAAAGAATCCCTCAGGAATAACTCCCCAAAGCTGCTATGGAATATAAACCAAAGGGAAGAAGAGACCTTGGAAAACCTACAAAGATGCGAAAGGATCGATAGATCAAAGTCTTTGCTTCAGAATGGGGAATCAGTACCCAAACCGTGGAAAGAAAGAAGAAATGTATATATGTGTGTGCGTGCACATGCATGTAATATTTATATTGAATGTAATAAAAATCTAATATATGATAGCAACACAGGTATTGTAAGGAAAGGATTTTGTTTCAAATATATCAAAAGTCCCTGCAGATAATATTAACAGCTGATGCACATCTAGCAGGACAGCTTTCAATCGAAGGGCTGTAACTGAACATAGAAAAGTCTATCAGACTCTGTCTCATTGTAGGCCTGTAGTAGTTTTTTCTTGAGAAGGAAATTACTCTGTTTTTACAAATATTCAGTTTCATGAAGTTAGCAGTACAGAATCAATGTCAGAATGAAGTCGATTGCAGTAGTTACGAGATTTAATGGTAGGAAAGATTTTAATATCAGACAATAGGAGATACCTAATGTGATTAATTACACTGCACAAGTCATCAATGAATAGGTTGAAAAGCAGAGGCCGCTAAACAAATCCCTGTCAAATGCCAGAGAGCCAACAAAATCCAGTCTCCTTCAACTCCTATCTCCCATAGATCCCACCTGATATTATCCTCCCATCTACGTCTAGGTCTCTCCAGCAGTCTCCTGCATTCAGGCTTCCCAACCAATACCCAGTGCACACCTCTTGGCCATCCATGCGTGCCACATGCCTAGCCCATCTCATTTTTCTTGACTTAATCACCCTGACAATAGTGGAGGAGTACAAATTTTTTAGCTCATCATGCAGTTTTCTCCATACCCCATCCTATTCTCACCTTGGCCCAAATATTCTCAAACACCTGCAATCTATGTTCCTCACTCAGACTGCAAGACCATGTTTCACACCCACACAAAACAACGGGCACAATTGTTGTTTTGTATATTTTAGTGCTCAGAATATTGTAACTGAATTTGAAAGGAAGGATGATATTTATTTTAAGTCTGTACCACATGAAGAATGTTGTGAAAATTGTAGAGAGAAACAACTAATTCATCTAAGAAATTGTAAATAACGTTACATGTTTGCTCCTCCAGCAATTTGTTGTTAGCAAGTATGTACATATACGTATGTCATTGGAATAATAATTTTCGGTTGCAATTTAAAAATTTTGCTGCGGTGAAAATGTCCACGGTGTCTTGTGGGTTATAGTGTAGTGTTATAGACCTTTACCAACGCTTTAGATATACTTGCTGCCTGCATGATGATGGGGGACAGCAAATAGTGCTGACACATTGGTAAGCTATCAGACTCCACGGTGCTACAACCCAGCACCGCCGTGAAGCCCTTCAAGTCCACGGTGGTCTTTTGGGTTGTGACGCTGTTTGGACTCGCCAACCACGGTTGCCAAACTACAAGTCCTCATGGAGTCACAACCTGGAAGTCTTTCGTGGAAATGTTTTAACGCAGGTTGGTTTCCTGTTTTTGTGATGGTAGATGGTACTGATCGTGTGTTTATAATAGTTCGTGTATTTATTATAATTATATGATTTGAAGGAATTTGTGATTGTTTGGTGGATACATTTTTTATGAAATTAAATAATGTAAGTGTTATAGAAAATCAGTTTGTCAAAGCCATTGGTTATCAACCTGACTGTTGTCGCTGTTACTACTAACGCTGATGACTATATGAGAGTTATTGTTTAGATAATGGTTTATAGCTGTTTCTTTTAAAAGTAAGATAGTTGGGATGTTACGTTTGTTTCTAATGTTTTGATAAGTTAATAATAAGACATAAGTCGTTAAGCTCTGATGGGTTTAATATTTATTTCTTACACAGAAGAATTTATCAATTGGAAATTCGTAAATTCCGTAAATATATATGTAAATAGAATTAACAGCTGTGTAGTGATGGTATTTGCACTGCGATTAATTATTGTATTTGTATTATGTTCAACATCCTTGGCTTGAACTATGAAGGATCTATGCAATGTAAATATATTCTGTTCTATTCTATGAGCATATTGATTTTATATCAATTTATAACGTAGATGAGTGCCATTGCACAAACCTAAAGCTTTCTTTAATGAATATGTGTTTATGTAAAGTATTTTAGTTTTAGTTTGTGACTGATGCAGTTGAAAGACACACCACCAACATCTCCATGTAGCAATGAAACAATGGATTATAATGAACTGTTTGAAGATGAAGTTGAGGAGGTTATTGATGGTGAAGCTGCAAGTAGCAATAATTACATAGAAGCAAATGATGCAAGTGATGAAGATATTGGCATAGGCTTAGAAGGCAGTGAAAATTCTGAAGGAAATAACCCTGTGAGGGATGATTCAGCATCTGTATTTTCTCATCATAAAGGTTGGTACTTTCTTATCATAAAGGTTAAACTGTGCCAGGTGGATGTGAAGACATTGATGTCCAAAATATCTGCTGGATATTTAGTGATGGAATGAGGAGAGAGGTGTGACCTAGCCAGTATACTGTGCTTATCACCTTCTCAAATTGAAATTTGCATCTAGTAGCAATATTTCTAAAAGCAGCATGTTGATTTTCAACATAATAATGATAATGACAGCAGTTAAAACTGAAATACAATGTGCATGTTGAATACTTATTATATTCTGTCCCAGACCTGTTTGTTTCTTACATGTGACAAGGTACTTTCTTTTTTAAGTTTGTCAACACAGATTACAAATGTAGTTGTTTCCCACAGCAGGAAATGTTTGGTTGCACATATCTTGTAATGGAAACCACATGCCTGAGTTTATGTAAAATCTGTATGTGCATTATCTTGAAGTGGAATGTTGTGATAAATCTATTTCTTTGCCTTATTCCGAGTATATATTATTGAAGCAAATGTTTCTTACATAGGTTCTGTGTTTTGCTGCCATTTACAGCCAAAGGCTGGCAGATTGGCTGTGACTGGAGCAGAGGATGATATGGCATATGTTTGGGAAACACATTCAGGAGAAGTAGTGTTACAATGCAAGGGCCACAAGGTGGGCATTATATTTGTAATTCATTCAGTATAATAATGAGTAAACAGAATGACAGTAGAATTTCAATATCAGTTTACTTGTATAAAGTAACTGAATATTGTTGGTGATTGGTTTCAGCTTGTGCTCAAGGTTCATATCTTAGTCTGGAGACTGACTGACCTGACTAAGGTTTTCCTTGGTTTTCCTTAGTCTCTCCAGGTAAATTCCAGGACATAACATTAAATTAGACCATTACCAGTTCCTTTCACATCCTCTACAGTTAATTATTCACTAATCATAATTTGATGCTATATAAGCTTAGCAATTGAAAATGTCTTTGAATAGATGAAGAATAGATAAATATTAACCTTTTTGCCTCAAAAGCCTTAGAGTGCATAGATAGGATGTGCAAAATACAGCTTCTTCTGCCTAATGTCTACCTGACTTACGCATGGTTCACCTTGTTATTGTGGCAATGAAGTTGTGGTGTTACAACCATTACATCTGATGTATAGGAAATCTTCCTGCCCATTTCAGCAATAGAACCATGATGATAATCTAATTTTTGATTTCGTATGTGAATTAGACTGTGGTTGTGTTGATTCATGAGCTAACTGTCCTATATATAACCTTAACATTTATGTAAGAAAGAGTATTCAAATTAACTAGTCTGATAATGTCAAGATAGAGTGAATTTCTATGGTGCACTGAAGGATTATTAAGTAATACTTTATTACTTTTTCCTTACATTTTGAAATTTGCCTTTGATGAGTGTCAGTTTTTGTGTAAAAAATAATGGGGAAAGTATGACTCTTTGAAGAATGCAGTGTTGTATATGATCAGATATTGCGTGAGAGTAGTCAGGAAGATTTTCTCTGATACGATATTTCACTGTGTCGTGTACAGGACTCTGTGACCTGTGTTAGATTCAACTATGATGGGTCTTACGTTGCAACTGGAGACATGAGTGGTGTCATACAAGTATGGAAAATAGCTAACAAGTTACAAGTATGGGAAACATGTATTGGCGACCTGACTGTAAGTAATACTACGTTTACATTATGAGTTGTATTTGTGTATAGAAAATCAAACAAATGAAGCAACATATTGCAGAACCACAGTAGTGGCACTGGATGTTGTAAAATTGAATAGAAATGGGTGTTGTGCAGTGAAATTGTGGTGTTTATGTACTCCAACTATAAGTACTGAACATCACAGCCACGTGGTTAGCAGTCATGCTTCTTGTTCAGGAAGTTCCAGGTAAAAACAACAATCTGGAAACATGTTACTGTGTCTGAGGTTTTTCACGGTTTATCTTTATCCCTTCAGCCAAATACTGGGATTGAACCTTAAATGCAGCCATAACCACTTATTTCCAAATCCTTTGCAATGTATTATTTATTAATCATTCTGTCATTTGTTGTTATGTGGTTTGAGCTACTGACAGCATCATTAAATGATCCATATACATAATTAAAATAAATAAATGTTAGTGGATTTACTTAATAATGTAATAAGCTTGTGGTAATTAACATTACATTTATTTACTGTAAAATCCTTATTTAATTATTTTCCTGGTCTCATTGTGAAATGTTAATTCTTCTTGGATTGTCTCCTGACTATATAGCATCAAATAATGTATGATAAATGAATTGGAAAGGTCGTAGCTTAAATTAAGGTACTTTTCCGCCAGTTTCATGGAGGGACTGGGAAACCTCAGTCCTGGATAGTCATCTCCAGGCTGATGTTTGAACCTGGGACCTCCTGAATATGAAGCAGGAGTACTAACCACTTGGCTGCAACGTTTAAATAAGACTCTGTCTTGCAGTCATGCACTGTTTGCAGTGGCTGAGGTGGCATCACGGAGCAAATGTCTTGCTAGCTGGAACTGAGTCGGGGGAGGTATACGTGTGGAGAATTCCAGGAGGAGAATGCAAAGTGTTGCCTGGCCATGGTGACAAAGCAGACTGTGGACTCATGTTGCCTGATGGTATGCAATTTATAATAAAATTATGACTTTGCTGTCAGGCAGTACGTGGATTTTTATGTCCTCTTTTTATTTTTTTGTATGTTCCTTGCATAGAAACTGTGAAAACTGAAGAAATGAAAGGATTTTGTGTATAATATAAAGGAAATAGATCCCCATAATTTGGAAGGGCACTTCATGCAGAATGTACAAGTATGCCAGCCATTATCATTATAAGTTGCTTTTTATGTGTCCTTTGCATGATGGGCTGATCATGTCTGTCTGTCATCCGCGTGGTTCAACTCAAAAACCATGGGACGGATTTGAATGAAATTTTGTATGGTCATTATTTGAGTAATTATTTGAGAAATAAGTGCAGCAGGTACTGTAAACGTTCTGATAATATCCCAGGTGGAATTTTTTTACCTTGCCATTTACGTCATGAAATACGAAGTAGAGAGAATGAAATTAAGATGTAAATTTTTTTAATTTCCAGGCAAACGTATGGCGATAGGTTATGCAGATGGCTCACTTAAAATATTTGACACAAAGACTGCGACAGTATTACACCACGTACCTCAAGGACAAGCTCACACTGGTACAATTACTGACATGGACTGCCATCCTGATAACAACTTGCTTATCTCTAGTAGTGTGGATGGACATGCTGTTGTGCTCAAAACTCAAACTGGAAAGGTTAGTAGGCCTGTATTATTCTGACAGGAACTCTGAAGTACGAGGCTCGTCCTTAAAGTAAGTTTCCGTGGGGCCGTTTACAGAAACAAAACACAATTTCATGGAAATATTTATTGCAACAGATACAGCAAGTGTCCAGCTATTTTTCAACATATTCGCCACCGGAAGTGAGACATTTGTCATACCGTGGGACCAACTTTGGAATACCTGTGTCGTAGAAGTCTGCCGCCTGGGATTGGAACCACTGTGTGACAACCATCTCCGCCTCTCTGTCATTCTCAAAACGCTGACGCTGACCGGACAGGAATTTCTTGAAGTGTAGGAAAAGATGGAAATCACTGGGAGCGAGGTCCAGGTTGTAGGGTGAATGATTAAACACCTCCCAGCTAAACTCCTGCAGGAGACTTGCTGTCCGTCGAGCCGGGTGCGGCCTAGCGTTATCACTGACCGCACTTCACAGTCAGCGGGAGCTGGAATAAGAACCTCCATCTTCAACAGCTGCAACGATGCTACTGTGAGAACGCGGGAAGTACCGTTAGTGCATGCGCCATGCTACGTCATTGCTCTATCACGTACGCACAGTCGCTTCGCTCAATATAAGGTTTGCTAGCTGTGGGACGAGTGGGAAACTTACTTTTGGGACGCGCCTCGTATTACCTTCGTCTTGCCTTCCATACTTTCTCAGAATTTGTTCTGTTTTCCATCGTAATGTATTGTTATGCAACCGGTGTGCCTGCACAAGGTTTCAGGAGTGCCACAAATTTTCGTAAGAAATTTAAATTTTGCATGTTATAGTTAGAAAAAGGCAATTCTTATCTGTCATCATTAGTTTTATAGAAGATGTGTAATGTTTTTTTTTTCATGTGTCTAAATTCTCATAGGACAATTATTTATATGTAGACGCATATTTACGTCCTTTCAAGAGGCATCATTTTGCTCCGTGCCATCGTGTGTGTTTAACAAATCTGGTAGTGCCACAAGTGAAGAAAGATTGCAGAACGCTCCTAATCCATGTACAGACTATCTGGGCTGTGAACTGGATTTCATTTTTACTTATTGAAAATATTTGAGCCTAATGTGAGCCAGAACAGCTCAGTCGGTAATGTCATTATGTGTGAGCTGGATGACAGGTTCATTTTCCAGCATGGAAAGGCACGTTGTCTACACAACTCTGGGCCACATTTAGCATCGTATCCAATAGATAACATTCTTTCACAGGAGGTAAGGTGCCTGAATCATATAGCTGACTGATTGCTCACTTTTATACAGTGCTGAGGTTTAAAATTTGTATGTTACTTCAGTGCCTTCGCGACATTGAATTGAGGTTCGAGGGTAATAGTAAGATGGCAGTCACACATTCTGATTATTCCTGATTTATCCATTGGTTCCAGATTTCATCAGTACTGGATTGCAAAGGGTTCAACTCTGAGGCCAAGTCCAGTAACACCTCAGTTGAAGCCGTAGGTTTCTGTCAGAATAGCAGTTTTCCGCTTGCGGCCACTGGCAGTCTTGATGGAGTGTTGTGCATATGGGATATTTCTAGAGGGGTGAGATATTTTTACTAGAATTCACTTGCATTATTATCGTCATTTACAGTCGTAACATTATACTGATATTTGTCATGTAATCGGCCTTACAGTTTTATAATCGGTTTACTTACAGTTAGGAAGAATATGAGTTACAAATTATTATTTCTGGCTGTTTTAATGATACAGCATGTTTTTAAAAGAACATTTTCTTCAGTCTGGTATTTGGTGTGTTGCAATATATGAAGTGTTGTTGTTGTTATTATTTTATCTATTCACCATTTTACAGGGTATTTACTTCTATGTACCTGAGACAGACTTTGCCCCTTGCAGTAGTTTTTGGCCGGTGGAGAAGCTGGCGGACGGGCTTACTCTATGTACCTGAGGTGGTACGGTCAGTGCATTTCTTTCGTTTGGGCGTTCAGTCCAATAAGCTCCTCGGTGCAGTCAGCATTATACCATCGCACAAGTGACTCGCTTCTAGCCTTCCGCTTGAAAATTCCACCGGCCAAAAACTACTGCGCCGACTATACATAGTGCAGCAGCTATTTCTGAAATACATTTTGTTTTTTAATGTGCGTTACGTGCTTTAAACAGATTTCGCGTGAGGCATTATATATGTTACACGAGCGTTTTTCGAATGATGTATGATGTTCCTAGAATGGCTGTTTTCTGAAGTTCTCTAATGTCGTGCTCGGCCTGGATGTTGGCCAAATATTTTTTTAGTGTTTTGGAGACGGTTCCAGTCGCTCCTATAATTATTGGAATTACTTTTGCTATCACTTTCCATATTTGTTGTATTTCAAGCTCTTCTTTGTTTCTTTCTTAATTACATTTCTATCTGTTGGTATTGCTATATCAGTTAAGAAACAAGTTCCGTTTTTATTTTTAATTATATCTGTTTTGACTTGTTGATTCCACAAAATAGTTGTTCGGTTATCCTGACTTGTCACACCTGTCTTCAGGGTGTATTCATACCAATTTGTCTTCTCTAGCTTTACCTCAGCTTTCCTGCGTATGTTAAAACGTAACTGAGTACAGACACGATCATGTCGTTGTATATATTGCTCTTTTGCCAACACTGGGTATCCAGACTCAACACGATCTGTCGTTTCCTCAAATTGCTGACTTAATCTGCATTTGCTGTCGTATCTTTTTTAATATTTTTGCTGCATATTTAGTGTTTATCAATTGGTCTTGTGCTGCTATAATTTGACTTTCAGTTTCTCCTTTCATATCTCCTTTTGTTAGCCACAAAAATGTGTCTTCTTTACTTATAAGTTGTCTGTCCAATGGAGATACTGCCCATTCATTATGTTCTTTTCCTTTATTTGTGTCATTGATTTAATCTGCAGAATTTAGTTATTTGATTTTTGATGCTGTCTTAGCTATTGAATTCGTTGTTGCTTCGGACCTGTCATGTGGCTTTATAATATTTATATATGGATCCTTCTGATGCTTTATGTGCAAATACTCTGCAGTATTGACTATTTCACTTTTGTATGTTGCTTCAATTTGTGCCAGTCCTCTTCTCCCTTCTTTTCTCTTTACATAAATTCTGTCTGTGTCTGCTTTCGGATGGTGTATCGCGTATATTTTCAACGTTTTCCTAGTTTTTCTGTAAATTCTCTGCAGTTATTGTTTTTATTATTATTATGGTTAATTATTATTACATGTATTTGCATGACGTAAAAGTACCCACTCTTGGTGATTGTGGTATGATTAATGCTAATGTACTGCTCTTTTCTTCTCTTAAAGAGTGTACGACACACACTAAAGCAAGATTCTGGTATCACTAAGCTGGTTTGGGTTAAGAACAGTCCTCTTTTCTATACTGGTGGCTTGGATGGGAGCATTCGACTTTACGATGCGAGGAGCGGCATCTTGCTGAACCAGTTACTTGGGCATTCTAACAGTATCCTGGATATTTCATTTTCCATGTGAGTATGACTCCATATCAGTTCTGCCTCGAAAAGAAAAGCAATAAATCTTTGCCGTGCCATTTAAATTCACCAGTTCCTGATCCTCTGAGGTAAATTTCAATTCCCCTTTAACTTGCTACGTTTTAGTATGTTAAGTTTGGCAAGAGACCTTTGAGTTAGGTATGGAAAAGAGTTAAGGTAAATGATTGATTGATTAATGGGGTTAAAAACATCTCAACCAACTCCCTCCATGGAGGAAAGTCTTCCTTTAGAGAATTAATAGTCACTTAACTATTTAGTAATCCCTCGTTTATCTTACTTTGTGCACAAGAGCCATCCACTGGACCCTACTCTCATCCCAGTTAATCCAGTCCACATTTATGTACTCTAGTTCTGTCTCGTAGTATTTCTTGTAAATATTAAATATAGCATGGAGTTCAAATTCAGTATAAAAGTCACGAAGACAAACTTCTTTTTTTTTTTGCTGTTTGAGATTATTACGACAGTGTGTTGAATTACACTGAAATTGTAAAATGTTTAAGTCGTCACTGTTTACTGTATGAGAAATTAATTAAATTTTGGCCAAAGTGTCTGTATGCTGATAATAATCATGAAAAATTAATTTATGCAGAAGGAATTATTTAGTCTGTAAATGGGAGAATAAATGACTGCAGGGATAAGCACTTAAATCAGCCTCAGCAGAATTGGAAATGACGGGCCGTCCGAACTTTCCCCTTTCAATACCAATAAGTAGGTTATGGAGACACAGGAAGAACATTCAGAAGATACGAGTTCAATTGGAATAGGTATGAGCGTAATCCATGTCACTGAATGCGTGTGTGTGATGTCCGGCCGTATTAATATTTGTTTTGTCCTGTGACAGGGATTTCAGCACTCTACTCTCTTCTTCTGACGACAGTACTGCTAGAATATTTTCTGTTCAAGTGCCAAACTGGTGAAACTTTCATATTGTACATATAAAATCTTATTGATTAAAATATCTGTACTGTTTGAATATAAGTAATGTATGTGTTATATAAAATTAAATTAAATCCGTGGCGTAACCGCTCCAGAGAGCCAAAGCCGACTAGCTTGACTGCTGGCCTCACGTTCACATGCCTAAGCAGAGGTGAACGATCATCCAACCAGATATAGGATGACGTGTGGTCAGCACGACGAACCCCCAGCCATTGCTAGTTTTCCTGACCGGATTACGCTACATATCGTAGCTCCCCAATTTCCTCACGATGCTGGGTTGGCATCGGTCCCATACACCGGTCGAAAGCTCATGAGAAAATTTCTTCTCCCCCGAGACTCGAACCAGCGCGCATTCCGTATCGCCGGTCCAAAGCACGATGCCTCAGACCACGCGGCTATGGCGCGGGATGTATGTGTTATATAAACATGCAAATTGTAATTAATCCATGTGGACTGGACTTTTGTGGCTCAGGATAAGGTCTCATCGTGGGTCGTTGTGAGCATTCGGGTCAATAAAATGCAATGAATTTCTTGACTTGCCAAGCACTTACTAGTTTCTCAATAAATGCTCTGCGTCTTCATGAGTTAATTAATTAGTTAATGAATTCTGTAACGTGGGCTGAAGGATAAAAGGAGAAAATTATTAAATGCGTAGTGGACGGTGTGTGGTTATGTGTATGAACTGAATTAAGTTTTCATCTATATTTGATCTGCTTAGTGTTGTGTTTATCTTTTTTGTGATAGATTTAATGGTTTCCAATGATTTTGTGTTAAGAACTTGTGCACAAAGTACTGTTGAAAAATTTTAAATAAGCAATCATCTGGGGTCCATGAACGGATTAATCCATTTTACATTAATTCCTATGGGGAAAATAGTTCTGGTTTACGAACATTTCGGTTTACGAACGACCTTCAGGAACGAATTAAGTTCGTGAACCGAGGTTTGACTGTATTGGGTATTCTGTCTTGTCCTGTCAGTTATATTACTGACCTTAAAATGCTTTATTATTTAGAGAGAATGGAGGAAAGAACATTTACTAGGAGACTTTGTCAGTATACATTCATAAATTTTATGCCACTTGCAGTTTCAGTGTGTTGAAACCGTGTATGCCTTAAACATTGTCGATTTGAGATTTTTATTTAATTTCAGCTTTAATATTTTTGCTCTGGTTCTGTGTTCTTTCCACCCTCGCTGTCGGTAAAGATTGTGTTTGGATGTAACTTGAAGTTCTCACAACGGAATTTGCGTGTTTGATTCAGCTCCAGTTTTGGAATGTGGCGGTGGACCTTCCACTGCAGTAGTTCATTTGGTAGTGTGTCTGGGTTTGATTCCAAGTGTGATGACTTTTTAATAAACAGATCTGTAACGGCTTAGGAGGCCATAAAATTTCATTTCGCTTTTTACTCCACATTTATTTTCTTTCTTTATTCACAGTTGAGAACGAATTGGGATTATTATTATTTTTTAAACAATTCAGTTTTTTTTTTTTTACAAAAGTTGCGTTGTCCGTACGTTTTGTCATATGAGTCTTTCATTCTTCTTGAAATCTTAGGCCCATCTGCAGATGCGTAGAAGGGGAGCTGTGTATTTTAAACTTTTCATGTTGAGAAACTTCTCGAACAAGTAAATTAAGAAATAAAATAAATAAATAGAGAAAAAAAATTTAAATTAAATATTACAGCCTCCAAAACCATTTTAGACTTGGTGATTAAACTGGGGGACTGAGCCACAGCAGCCTGCAACACGACAAACATGAATTATCACAGGCAATGTAAGTGCCCTCAGCTTTTGAGTTTTATGAAGTAACTGAAGAAATTTCAGAAGTAATATAGTGTCAAGGGAACTGGGGGTGAGCAGATATGGATTTGAAAGGAGACATTCATGGCTTATATCTCAAGAGTTCTCTGGAGACAACTGAAAATCTGTCAGGAAATTTTACCAGCCATAAAAATTATTTTGTAACTAAGGACTTTTCCTTTGTCTTCAGTTTCTTCCAGTCACTAGACAATTTGTGTTGAATGTTACATGCACTGCAATCTGTACTAAGGAATGTAAGATTTCTTTCCATTGCATTTCTGACAATTGTTTAATAATTTATAACCTTTAATTTCCAATTTCCTTCGTTGATTATACACCTCTTTGATTTAAATGCGACATAGAAACGTTAAAAATATTTCGCATGTTTTGGAATTAGATTTGTATATGTTTATGGTGTGCAGTGAGAGATGGGAACCGGTCCTGGGGAAAATCACTTTTGTTTTGCCGATTTGTGAATTGGAAGATACCAGAAACCACTTTTCGAATGAACGCTAGAGCCGGATGTAATGGAATTGCTCTCACGACAAATTATCTGTGGGCTTTCATTTAGACAAAATAGTGACACAAAAATGTCTGCGCTGTTGCCGCAGTCTTTTGGCGAGCTGTCTGTAATTCGTTATGGCGGAAGATTTTCATGTGATTGATTTGTAGGTTATTTAATGACGAAATTTCAGCTTTGCAGTTATATGGCGTTGAGTGAGTTGGGTAGGTGATGACGAATTGTGAACAGGTAAGGATTTGGAAGGAGGCAGCGAGGAGAGGCTGTTGAGAGAACCTTGAGAGATTCGAACCGAGTAGTTCCCTAGTACAAGTCTGAATTGTTTCCATTGAAAACCATATTTGTGAGTTGCTTGGCGTCCATCCCCCCTAATTTGACAGATTTTCTTTAAACTTCTAATGAATGTAATGGCCTTGGAGACTTCCACATCTTTTGACGCTCTGTAATTAACTGCTTGAAGGCTTGTAGTGATCTAGGGGTAAAGGTCTCGGGTTCTAGACCAGCCAGGGCCCGTGCGAAATTTTTCTCATGCCTTCCTCTTTCCACGCATTTGATAAATGTGCGATTTGACATGCATCGTTAAACCAGAAATTGTACAGAAAATATAATTAAAATACTGCTCTTGTAATATCGAGATTAATTCTTATGTTGCGGTCCAATCTACGTTTATAATTCCAGACGTATAGAGGAACTGCACTTAAGCCCAGAAGATACGTGAAACAGAGTGAGAATAGAGAAGGCAAGAAAATTAAACAATGGAGCACAGATAAGCGCGAACAAAGGAAAGGAACCCCTTCTGTGCACCGAGATGTTTCGGAAGTACAAATGTAATTGACAGGAAACTCTTTAACCAATGGGAATGCCCGACTCGGTAGGTTTAAGTGTAGTTCAGTGCAGCAATCGGCCGCTAGGGTGTCATTGAGTAGAACACCCCACGAGGTCGAGAGGGGTCTCTGAAGCTTATCCAACAAACCTTGTGGGGGAGAGACGTAGGGGAAGCGGACTTTGCAGGCTGCATTCGAAGCCAGTATTGTGTTGCCTTCCCATGTGTGAAAGGTGCAGATATAAGCATGGCTACAGCGTAGTGGTACGATTATTCGTGAAGTATGCCAATCACCTTGCAGGAAACTACCTCGTGTTGCTGTGAACGAGGGGCTGCATTGCGTAAGCCTTCCGATCAAGTATTTCAGCAGGTGGTTATACAAGTTTTCGCTTATATTTTTTCGGGTCTGACTTAGTTATTACATATTATAAGTCCCGCCATATAAATAAATCCAAGTGGCGCCAAATAGGAATCAATCTTAAAAGATGATGAAACTATCGTAGAAGTGCATCAGACTGCGGGAATAACAGCAGTAGGCGACAATGTCTGTCAAGAAAAACAGCAGGATCTTAGCTGCAGAAAAAGAGAGACTTCAAACGAATAATGACATCAAGCTGAAGAAAGAACTCGGACTTTTGGACGGTGTCGCCATTATTGTTGGTATCATTATCGGGGCTGGTATATTTGTGTCTCCAAAAGGAGTTTTGAAGAGCTCGGGTTCAGTAGGACTTGGTCTTATCGTGTGGATTCTCTCAGGACTTCTGTCTATGATAGGAGCACTGTGTTACGCAGAACTGGGTGAGTATAATGTAATCTAGTTAAGTATAGATTAGTATATGAATTCTTCACCGTGACACACGATATACCCCCGTGTATGTAAAATGATATAATAACTTATAGGTTAGGTTAGTTTAAATTGGCCATATGTTGGCTTGTAGGTAGATTCCGTTTCAGAGGAACTACCTCGAAATTCAGCACTGAAGATTGAGGCAGTATGTTAAACAGCTCTGAATATGGAGTCAGTATGTTTCTCCGAAACGTTGAAATTCACCTACAAATTCACATGGCGTTATTACCCAGAAAACCAACACCAACATCATCACTTCAGTGAGAACCTCGGTTTACGTTCTCTTAGTTTAGTAAGATTTGAAGTTTCAGTGTAAATGTGTAGGCGTTTTTTGTCCACTCTCGCCTTTGCCCTTCTGAAAAACTTACCTAACATATTTTCTAATATTTTTTTTCATTTGATAGGATTCCTTGAACCTGTCGTCTCAGTGGCCGCGCTGTCTGAGGCGTGGGCCTTGTGCCGCGTGGTCACTGGGACCGTGGGTTCGATTCCCACTCAAGCCATGGATGTTTTTCTGTGTTGTCCTGTGTACAGGTAGAGGTCTTGCGACGGGCCGATCCCTCATCCAAGGAGTCCTACCGAATGTCTAGGTCAAAGCCAATTTTAAAGTTGGGGCCCGCAGTGATTAGGCACTTGAAGAACGGGTCATTAAATCATCAAAGTAAAGTATCCTTGAACCGGGGAGAGCATTCGACGATTGGCTAACATTTAAAATTTTGTGTATTTATTTGCTGAACTGGAATAACGATTTTGGTCCCACTTGCATTGTCCCCACTGTTACAAGTGTGTGATAATTAAGTTCGGTCCTTAAGTCGGTGTGGGAAAGATAACTTTGAAGAAAACCAAAGCTTTGGTTCAGGTAATTTTTTTTTTAAGAACAGGAAACAACATGACAAGTCGAGTGATTTATGGCATTCGATGTAATTACCAGTTAATTAACCAATTACTGGTGCTACGTGTTCAGTCCCAAGTTGACAGAAGCCTTAGAGAGGATGGCGTCGTAAATTTTTTCTGTAACTTTTTACTTAAGGCTTTCACCGGGATGTTCTTTTGTTAAATCTTATGTGGTACCGCCTGATTCGACTTCTAATGGTTAAGTGAAGTGTTTTCTTCGCGGTACGGTCTGGATTCGTAAATATTATGAAGACGAGCTTCGGCTTCAAAGGGTTAACCAGCTGATTTTCGTAACGGTGAGGTGTAGTGTTTTCTTCGCGGTACAGACTGAATTCATAAATAATATTCAGACGATCTTCGGCTTCAAAGGGTTAAAGACTGTTTAGCTTGCGTCTGGGATCGAACCTAACCTAACATTTACCTTTTTAAGCCCTTTGCCTCTTCCGGATACACTGAGACCCTTTCTTCCGTCTTTCCGTCTGACGTCTTTGGCACATTCTGCTCAGTCCAATTTGCGATAAGATGTGATAAAAAAACTCACATCCGCCCTGAGGATGGCAACTGTTAATACGTGTCGAAACGACGGATAAGTCAAAACATTAGGCGCGGCTCAATCTACAAAAGCCGAAGTTAAACACTGAATCCCAGCAGGGAGAAACTATGAGAAAGTTTAAAATGCATGTCGGACAACGTCGTCGGTTTATACGTATTTTCAGTTACATAATTTGGAAATGTGTTTCAGTGTGCTTGTGGGTAAATGGATTAAGATAATCTGAAGCTCGTAATTAGTCAAAGTAGGCGGTTATGGAGTCTCACGTACCAGTTTTGTCGTATCATGCAGGTGTTTTACTTCGTACTCTAATTGCAAGAATGCGGCTTGTCAGCTCTTTTCTTGTTACTAAAATTAACCACGGTCACGTGTCTCAGAAGAAATTATTCAGGCTTTTTCATCGTGGCTGTTGCAATGTTTGAAAGTTGCAATTGGTCGGTTAATTATTTAGCAGTAGATTATTTTCTTCGTCAACTAACGAGTTGCGATATTATGATATTCTTATTCTTATTTTATAACAGTTGTTACCTGTTAGCCTTCTAGACTACATTTATGCTAATTACCCATGAATTATTTAACGATATTATTTGAACTGAATATATGAAGGCACAATGTTACTTCTAAATCACAGTTTGTAAGATTTGAGGTTTCCACAGCGATGAGTATGAAGATTTCTGTCTTCTGGGTTGTTGCGCTGTGTAGTCTGGTCGATGTTAACCAACGTTTCAGAGGTCATTCTGCCTCCGTCATCAGAGTATGAAGATTTCTGTCTTCTGGGTTGTTGCGCTGTGTAGTCTGGTCGATGTTAACCAACGTTTCAGAGGTGTTTACTGCCTCCGTCATCAGGGCGTTGAGACTCATCTCTTCTTCGCCAACGTGAAACTTCAAATCGTACAAATTAAATCTTCTTCAAGCACGTTTAAAACTGCAGTTGACATGAAGAAACAAGACAACTGTAGTCTCGCCTACGACAATAGTTGTCCATTATGATCTGTCTCTCTTGTGTCTTTCTTTATAATGGCTCGCTCCTCGTGAAAGTGAGGCCTGCATTAAAGTATGATATTGTAAACAATTCCGCACTAATCTAATATCTTAGATACAAGTAGTGTTTGGTGATACAAACTAAAAGAGTGTCGTGTTCGTTAGTGTAGTGCCTCGCTCTGTTGCACTACACAGTAGCGCATGTACGAGTATCGTGTTTGTAGACAGCTCACGTTGGGAGTACTTGATAAGATAATATCCTGTAAAAGTGGATAAGCACTGTCATATTTCGAGGTATAGGCCTATTATATTTCTCTCAACAAAGCGTGGGAAATTTTTATTAAAATATTCGTTCTGTTTTTAACTACTCGCCTATTCTGATGTTTTCAATATTCCACGTGTCTCTGTTGATGATGTTACACGGGCGACGAAATGTGTCGGACCTGATGAGAGCTTCGTACCTGATGAAATCCCGAGTTTTATTATAAAAGAGTTTTTACACCATATTTTCAACCTTAGTTTACTTAGTGGGAATTTTTCCCTTATTATGTAAGCAAGCTACTGTAGTGCCTATTTTTAAGAAAGGCAACAGTGCTTTAGTTTCATCAAACAGAGCGACCCACTACAAATTTAAATTACGCGGTCCGAAAAAAAACACAACAACGACGACGGACCACATGTTGAAATTCCTTTTTTTAATAATATCCCATGAATAATTAATATTCGCTATAGACGAACAAATTTAGCGCTTTCATATTATAGAAGCTGAAGTGTTTTAGATTGTTCCGAAATCTTCACGGGGTTTCTAGGCATCGCAGTGGCTGCACGGGGCTTTATTAAAGACGCTCATCGCTTCTAAGTGATCGATGGATTGGACAATTCCATGACAGTTTTTGTACAGAGAAAGTCTGTGTTTCGGGTTCCGTTCACTTACCTTGCTTTTACGTAATTTTATCATTTTTGTCTGTCGTATTTTCTCGTCTCTCTCATTAGCGTTTTATTAGAGAGATTGGTCTGAATGTAATTAGTATGACTCGTAAGTTCAATAATTGATGACATTCGACTTTTAGAGATCAGTTATAGAAATGTAATGCACACTCTTTGTGTAGTTTGGGACAATGGATGTGCAAATGGGCGGACGGGAGGATTAACAGACCTGGCGTTCGGTTTATCCGTTTAATTCATGCACTGATCACACAGCAAAATAATGAAAGCAGAATTGCTGACGTCACGAAGTGTAGAAACGTGTACACCATGTTCTCCTTACACCACGTGGCTTCTGACTTACGCGTTTGTTCTGTCCCACGCGATGTGATCTAGTTGGCGCATGAAAGAGATGTCGTGCGTTCCTATGGTGATTTTTGAAGCCCTTTTCCTGGGATTACGTCCGGAAAAAAATCCCTTGTATAGTAGAAACGGGAGATGAAAGATTCCGGACTAAATTGTAGCAAATATTAACCAAATGCAGGCGGTTCTTAATTTATTCGTGAATGAAATTTGAATTTGTTACACTGTAGTTCCCAAATGTTTTAACGTTCCCATATTTTCGAAGGATTTATTAGCTACATTCTGGTGACGAGGTGATTGCTCAAAAAGAATGTTACGAAAACAACGTAGCCATGACTGGAAATATTTTCATCTCACGATAACTGCATTTCTTCTAAGAGCTAACAATAATCTGTATCGAATGACGAATATATTGTGTGACTAATTTGTTACTGAAGGCTTTCCCGTCATGTTGTTTCTACTAAATATTCTAGTTTAGTTTAGTTAGAAAGTGGAGTCCTTATTTACGTACTTCAACTGCTTTGCCTCTCTAAAAGAAATTCAAACCGCTGACGTGACCATGATTTCCGGTCGACTGAAAATCTCAAAAGAAAATCCATATCGATATTGAAAATAACCATTGTGTCGAACAACTGAATACAAGTGTAATTTTATAAAAATTGTAGGTATGTGTGATTAACCCTTTGAAGCCGAAGATCGTCTGAATATTATTTATGAATTCAGTCCGTACCGCGAAGAAAACACTACACCTCACCATTACGAAAATCAGCTGGTTAACCCTTTGAAGCCGAAGCTCGTCTGAATATTATTTACGAATCCAGACCGTACCGCGAAGAAAACACTTCACCTCACCATTAGAAGTCGAATCAGGCGGTACCACATAAGATTTAACAAAAGAACATCGCGGTCAAAGCCTTAATCTTATAACAAAGCCATTGCTGGAGCACGACAGAAGATTGAAATAAAAAGGTCGTTCCGTCTGTTGCACGTTGTGGTCTGAGGAATGGCGTCTTGTTTGAACGGTACTTGTCCTTATAAGGAACCCCTGCATCTCACGCAGACATACCACTGAGAGTCCTGAATGCAAATAACATTGAGATCTATGTTAGGAGGAAAATTAAGCAAGATTATCATCGCCTTGAGGATACAAAAGCAGTTGCCAGTCAAACCCAACCACGGGACAGTGTACATCTTCAAATCGTCTTCTTATTTATTATTATGGTGATCTGAATTTATATACGAAGAGGGCGGGGGGCACACTAGCATCATTTCATGTATGGACTTGAAATTATGTGATATATTTTAGAAAATGGTAAGCTTATACAACTTTTCGATTTTAAATGGTTCTGACAATGGTTTTGTTACACTCGCGATTAATAAATTATTGGACTTTGCCCATCGTCTGATCTGTCTCTTCACTTTCTTCCTGAAGACGGAAGCAGATCCAGTTTTCGAAGCGTTATGTTCTTTTGAATATCAGACAATGAATTAAATCCAATAATTTAGTGATTCCTATTACACAAGTTTTATTAAGGAAAGTAGATTATTTGGATGTTTGTCCGCGTCCTTCCTCTTCAAGTCTGATGGATAAAGACTGGCCACGGAAGGCAAGGCGAAACCACCGTGGTCCTTTCGCATGAGCGCCCCGAAAGGGGTCACAACGGTCACGTATTGACCAGAGACGATAAAAAAAAAAAAAGATTATTTGTGACATGTTAAATTGTAGTTTCCATCTGATAGTAATAATTAATGAACAGTGGAATTTTGTGTGGAGTAGATCATATTTTTTATGTTAGATGTTACAAACTTGGCGAAAACGTGAATGTTTAAAATGCCGTGTCTGACAACGTAGCGCTACGAGGTTCTGGAAGGCCGTAATAGTGTTAATATATCATTCAATTTTTTATTGTTAACATGGCGTAGGTTTTTTATGATAAGCTATCACTGGCTCAGCTTGCCAGTAAATTCTCCCGAGAACCTTTTTTTACCTTTCCCATGCGTGCTACGTGTACCGTCCGTCCCGTCCTCCTTGATTCATTCGTCCTAATATACAAATAAGGCGTCATACATGTACTAAAATATTTATTACCAACACAAAGCGTGTCTACAATTGTTCTTTATTTTTCGTGTGTGTGTGTACTCCATGATGATGACAAAGATAATATTGTTGAACATTATCTGGCATCTCGCTCTAACGTAATTTGCTAGAATGAGTTTAGGGATACGTTTTCCGATTTCTCTGTGCTAAAAAGAATCGAAAGTATCTGATATGGCGAATGTTTCCGTGACGCAGGAATCCCTCACAGGGTTGCATCAAACATGAGGAAAAAGAATTGTACGCCGCAAAATTTCCGTCACTTAATAAATATTTTATATCACTGTAATTTATTTTTTGACAAATACAACATATGTCAGTTACGAGTCACGTGACTTTTCGATCAGCCAGTATTTTAGTGTGCATATTACATAATAAAATTATAAATATGTTTGTTGTTCATAGATGTTG